CGGGTTTCGATACCCGTGGTGGGGCAGAGCATAGATAGCCCATTGTGTAGCTTTGTGCTGAATTACAAACAAAACAAACTCTCTGAATAAACCATTGATTTATTGTCTATTTGATCTATATTATTGCTCTTGTAAAGTTTTGTTTCACTCTCCTATTCGAATCTCTGTTTTGTCAATTTTTCTTCAGTTCTGTCTTACATATTTTTTATTTCGTATTCTGTCTCTTTCTCTCTCACTCGTCTTAAAATCGATTCTATCCGTTCTTAAACCCTTCATTTCTTCTCAATTTTTCTTCTGAAATTTCTGTATTCATTTGTAATATTATCCCTCTTAAATTCCCGAATTATTTAATAATATCTCTTCCTAATCTTATGATGTTTGTTATATTTCTTAATCTTTTGATTTGTATTATAATTTTACTAATCTTAATTTTCTAATCTTTCTCTTTTACATACCAATGTACTGTATATTTTGTAAGTTTGGTATCGTTTCTTCTTTATACTGTTTTTAGGGACCTGTGAGGGACGTTTCGACACTGTCTTTGACTGGGTCAGACGACGTCCCGATGGCCAGCTCATTTATAACACCTACTTTTTCCGAGACAATCATTATTGGATGTATGAGAATCGCTTTAACCGTACCAGGTACGGCGATCCATTGCCTATAAATCCAGAATGGAAAGGAATCCCTAATAACATCGATGGTTTTGTACACGTGTGGACATACCTACAGGACAAGTCGTATTTCTTCAAAGGTATAGGAACATTTGACAATTATTTTTCCAAACTTGCATAAAATTGTGACACAGGACGATAATGTATGCGCATAAAAGTTTAATTTCAGTCTGAAAATATAAGGCTTCACCGTCACGTTCAAAATGGTTATCTACAGATGTTCATGTGGCTGTACAAAATATTTAATTAATTCAATTTTAAGTTCAGTGGATTGTCCGAACAAAGCGTTGCATCTGTTTCGAAAAACGATTATACCAAAAACACACCCTTTAAACAAAGCGTTGCATCTGTTTCGAAAAACGATTATACCAAAAACACACCCTTTAAACAAAACATGTGTGTATGTGCGTTTTGACGAACAAATGCGATCATACGCTACCTTCTCTGTTATTGATCGGAAATTTACTCAATAACTATTCCATGCATGTCAATATAGAACAGTATGCAAACATTTTGGTCAAGACTATACCTATAATCTATCTATAACTAAGGTAAATTAGATCATTATTAATTGCACCCCGGCCTCAGATATAGCTGGAAGCTTTACGGAGCTTTTTTTCTGTATTATTTATTTTTAATTAACGCTGAACATTATTTTTTTACAATATTACAGATGTAAAGAAATTGATTTGAAAACTAATGTTGTACGATTAACATTTCTTTATTTTATTCTATAAAAACTCATCATTCTTGTACAATGCAAAATTTGCCAAACATTTATAAATGTTTACTTTTTATTAGGTCGTTACTATTACCTGTATGACAGTATTAACGATCGGGTCGCTCCAGGATATCCCAGAACTATATCGAGCGATTTTAGGAATATCCAAGGGTCAAAATCTCCCAGAATTCCGGATAATATTGACTCTGTCTTCTTCGATCAAAGAAACACTGTTTTATACTTTTTCAAAGGAAAATATGTAAGTATGTACCATTTAAAAAGAATTCGTATGTACGTATTCAGATGTTCCATAAGGG